TTATTTTTTTTTATTAAAAAACATAGCATTATAGTGCTATAGTAACAAATGCTATAGCACTATAATAATATTTCCTTTTATTTTAATGTTTTATATGAATTTTATAAACCTTATACATAACTCTCAACTTCATATTATCTATTATTAGCCTAGATAATAGTCAGATTTCTTTATTAGTTATGTTATGAAGAATAAGTTTTCACAATAAAGACAACTTAAATTGTCAACTTTAATGAATTATTGTATTTATAGGTTAAATTTAAATATTCAAACATATCTCTCTGAATTATTTCACAGACTACCAAATTACTTTGATAGTTTATAAAACAAGATATATACTTTTGATCTTAACCTTTAACAATTCGTATTCGTGTCTAACAATTTATTTTTGTACTTGGAAAACATGTAGAACATATTGTGTAACATTTTATCTCATCTGATATTCACGTTTTTTTTTGATATACAAAAATTTTTATGAAATCTAATTGGTGTCAATCATCATATGATATACATTACTTGATTTAATTGTTTTGATGAGATCTGATTGGTGCTGAGTATACGAATGATGTAATTAGATTAATAATCAAAACTGATATCGATATATAAACAATTATTTTGTTTTTTTTTTCTTTAATATTTTTATTTTTTCTACGTTTTTTTTACTTTTACCTTAAATAAGAACTCTTTATTATCTGTAGATAGTTTTTATTTTATTTTCAAAAAAACTGTCAAACAGCGAATATATACAAGGTAATATATCATAGATGTCTAGATTGTTTTCATTGCTGTAAAAATTACATCTGGTTTATGATATAGTAACTAAATAGTTGTTAATTGATTGTATGTATTTATTTGTGACTTTTTAATCAAAAGTTGAAGATAATAGAAGCGTTTCAGGCCACAACTTGTGGCAGTTATCAGTTAGATATTAGAACCTATGGTAAACGGCTTGTTGTGAATGTCTATTTCTTTTTCTAATGGTTTTAGGGGTTACTACCATGGTTAAGATTTTGATTTTATGTTTGCGGGACTGACTAATTAAGACAATTACTCCTGGTAATTACACCTTAAAAAGGTCAGGTAAACGTAAAAATCAGTATTAATCATTGTGGGTGGTGATAAACACATAAATCAAATAACCAGAAGCTCTTCGCGGCCACAGTTACTGTGAACATTCTTATTTGATTTTCAATTATGATGCAATTTATTTATTTTGCTTTTTTTTTATACCGGTATAAATATAAGATATTGTACGATTACGAAATACGCGCAAGACCGATCAAAATCGACAAATTCCTTGAATTTATTTATATAAACATATATAAATTAAAAATTTTAAGTCTCTAATATTCAACAAATAAATTAATATTTTTTAGTTTTTTTTTTTGATATAGATTAATTTTTTAATAAAGTTGATATAATTTAATAAATCTATTAAATATTCGAGATCATTTAATAAAGAATATAAATGTTTCAAAAATATAGTTGAAAAGTCGCAATTAATAAATCGAAATCGTTGATTATTAATTATATTATATAGTTAATCATTCTTGTATTTATGTATGAGTATTTATAACGAAAAAAATGGGTTTAAATTATCGATTCAAATTTTGTATATATCTTCCAAGAGCATGAAATGAGTAAAACAAAATCACTTTCTACTAAAGATTAGTTTTAATAGTAAAAATCTAAATTTTTTGCAAAACAAAGTTTTGAGGCAACTCCGATTCGTTCATCATTTAAAAATGGTTTATCGCGTTCGAAAAATGTGCGCTATATTAATTTAACATAATGGTAACATAATGAGTAGGAATGAAATACGGGAAATACTTTTTTAAATGCTTCATGATTTCTGATTTGTGCGTTGGTTTTCAAGATTTTTGGCATTTTTTTCGGTTAAATAAATATAGCGACAATAAAATTTAAAACACTGCCAAGTGATGCAAAATATAATAAATGTAAACCTGAGCTTAAAATGAGGATGAAAGTTATTGCGTTAGTTATTTTCAACATTAGCCTTATGTATTTGTGCTCAAATGAGAAAATCTTAATACTGCTTCGCTTAATTTTCTAATTATTAGTGAGCTAAATCTAGGTAGCAAAGTGTGAGTTCTACGTAGTATCTATGGACTTTTTGCAGAATTTGTACACTCCTTATTAAGAATGTGAGATTTAAATGTAGGCGATAATCGAATGTGATACAATTTCGATAAATTATATCGATATAGCGATAGCAGATCAAAATTCTACAAGGTTTAATTCTTTAAACATGGAAGGTAAGGCTTTTCTGCTTCTGTCGCTTTTTAATCAATATATTTACTGAAAAACTATGATTATTAGGTCACTTCAACTTTCCAAAAGAGGAAGAAAAAATTCTTGAATTCTGGAAGGAAATCGACGCTTTTAATACACAAATAAATTTATCCAAGGGCAAACCACCTTACTCGTTCTACGATGGCCCTCCATTCGCAACTGGACTTCCTCATTACGGACATTTGTTGGCCGGTACTATCAAGGTAACGAACACATATTGTGAAAGCAAGTCATATCCTCTAAAACATGCAATGCTTATCAACATTAAATAACAAAATAGGATATTGTCACTCGTTATGCAACTCAGACTGGTCATTATGTTGAACGTCGATTTGGTTGGGATTGTCATGGTTTACCTGTTGAGCATGAAATTGACAAAAAATTAAATATCAAGGTTTATATACTTCGTATTTATTATCAGCAAATCAATAAAACTTTATTAATAACTTAGAACCATTTGTAAAATCAGGGTAAGGACGATGTTCTAAAATTGGGAATCGACAAATACAACCAAGAATGTAGAAGCATTGTGATGCGATATTCAGGAGCTTGGCGAGAAACTGTGGAACGTATTGGCCGTTGGATTGATTTTGATAATGATTATAAAACCTTAAATACCTCTTTTATGGAAAGCGTTTGGTGGGTATTCAAAGAACTATATGAAAAAAATCAAGTTTACCGTGGTGTAAAAATAATGCCATTTTCTACCGCGTGTACGACTCCACTTTCGAATTTTGAGTCTGCTCAAAATTATAAAGATGTCAATGATCCAGCTAGTAAGTGTAAATTTTCTGATAAACTGTCAACTTTGTTATTTATTTAATTCTCAATTTAATTTTTTGCTTTCTTTGATCAGTTGTCGTCTCTTTTCCTTTGGTCAATGAACCAGATGTGCTTCTTTTAGCATGGACAACAACCCCATGGACATTACCTAGTAATTTAGCCCTCTGTACCAACCCTAATTATGAATATATCAAAATTAAGGATGAAGTTTCCGGGCATATATATATTCTATTGGAGAAATGTCTAAGTATTTTATATAAAGATCCCAAAAATGCAAAATACGTCGTATTGGAAAAAATCCTGGGAAAGGATATGAAAGGGTGGGAATACATCCCTTTATTTGAATATTTTGTTCCTGAGGTGAATAATTATGATTATTATAAAATTTGGGAATTATTATTATTTTTGTTTTTGAAAATTAACATTTTTGCCCTTATTGATGATACATCATCATTCGTCTATCATAAACTCCATAAATTATTTCAATAATCCTTGCTTGTAATGTACTAAATTATGACCAGTTTAAAGGAAAAGGATTCATTGTATTAAATGATACATATGTCACAGATGATAGTGGTACTGGCATTGTTCACCAAGCGCCAGCTTTTGGTGAAGATGATCATCGTATATGCCTCGAAAACAATATTATTACTGAAGATGGTTTTCTTCCTTGTCCTGTCGATGAGCAAGGCTTATTTACTTCAGAAGTGACTGATTTCGCTGGAATGCATGTTAAGGTTCAGTACTATATTTTAATAATCAATATGCGTCTATGAGCTTTTTTAATAATATAATATATATATATTTTCTTGCTAATATTAATCTGTCCTTTAGGATGCTGATAAAAATATTCAAAAACTTTTAAAGCAAAAAAATCGATTAATCATTCAATCTCAAATTAAACATAGTTACCCTTTTTGCTGGCGGTGAGTAATGGGCCAATTGATCTACACAAATAACAAAGATGAAATTCCTTTGTTGAATGTTTCTTAACATTATTGGCATTCGAATAGATTGGTAACTCTTATCCGCCTTAAATATTTGTAGTTCAGATACTCCATTAATATATAAGGCTGTTCCATCATGGTTTGTTCGTATCAAATCCATCATCCCTGACTTATTAAAAAACAATCAAGAAACTTATTGGTGAGTATCTTTATTTATATATGTTTTTTGCCTGCCAAATAATAATAATACAATTAGACTTTGGAATATAGGGTTCCTGACTTCGTCAAAGAGAAAAGATTTGCAAACTGGATCATAAATGCCCGAGATTGGAATGTTTCTCGTAATCGATATTGGGGTACTCCAATTCCGCTATGGGTTAGCGATGATTATGAAGAGGTTAATTTTAAACTTTTAATATATGTGAGTGACACCAAAGAAAAGCCAGACTTCAGGCTTTCAAGTTAATTATTTATTTCAGCCTTAACAACGACACATATGACACGTAATTAAGTTTACTTACGTATCGTATATGTTTATGATCAAGGTTGAAATAACAAATAATAAATTTAAAAGCCCAAAGTCTGGTTTTCCCTTAGTGTCACCATATGTTCTTTTCATTTAATGTCATTTAATGTTACATGTTTAAATTCATCGCACCTTTGCTTTATTTGGCAACAGATTGTTTGTATTGGTTCTTTAGCAGAACTCGAGGAATTGTCCGGTTGCGATAAATTAACAGATATTCATCGCGATAAAATTGATAATATTACTATTCCTTCAAAAAAAGGAAAGGGCCCATTAAAAAGGGTGGAAGAAGTCTTTGATTGTTGGTTTGAATCTGGCAGGTATATATAATGAATATAATTTTGATTCAATACTTTTATTTTTAATATCGAATAATTATTTATTTTAATACTTTATAACTAATTATAGTATGCCATATGCACAATGTCATTACCCTTTTGAAAACAAAGAAAAATTCGAAGCTTCTTTTCCCGCAGATTTTATTGCCGAAGGACTTGATCAAACAAGAGGATGGTTCTACACTCTAATGGTCTTATCTACACATCTATTTAATAAACCAGCATTTAAAAATCTTATAACAAATGGTCTGGTATTAGCAGCGTATGTATTTAGATTGTCTGCTTTATTGCATTAAGTTCGAATTCAGCTTTCGCAACTAATTACTTTATTAATTCACATATAGAGATGGTAAAAAAATGAGCAAACGTTTGAAGAACTATCCTGAGCCTCAATCTATTATTAACACGTATGGTGCTGATGCTTTGAGGTGTGGTTGCTAAATATTCAATAATTCTTGGCAGGTTTATCATATCATTCTTAATTATATATAAATGCTTTTCAGGTTATACCTTGTTAATTCTCCAGTCGTACGTGCTGAGCCATTGAGATTTAAAGGAGAAGGCGTCAAGGAAGTTATTGCCAGGGTTTTCTTACCTTGGTACAATGCATATCGTTTCTTTGATTCACAAGTTGTGTTGTTGAAGAAGGTTGAGATTTATTAAACATCAACACGCTAATTGCTTCTATATATTTATAAAATAATAATTACAATTACCATAAAATATTTACATAGGATACTGGCATAGAATTTAAATACAATCCAGTTGCAAAGAAATCCGAAAATGTTATGGATAGGTGGATATTGGCATGTACTCAAAGTCTTATAAAGTTTGTACGTGAGGAAATGAAAGGTATGGATTTGTTATATTACGTAATCATATATATATATGTATATTTTTTGATGCTGTCCATTGAATAACGGATGTGTTAATGTGTAATCAGCCTATAGATTATACACTGTTGTTCCGAGATTGTTAAATCTCATTGAACAATTGACCAATGGATATGTTAGATTTAATCGCAAGAGGCTGAAGGGCGAGAATGGTCCAGAAGATACCATAAATGCATTAAATACGTTATTTGAAGTCTTGCTAACATTATGCCGTGTTATGGTAAAAAAGAAAAAAAAAATACATTTTTGAAACAATACTTGATGAATTTTGGGTGTTACATATGTCCTAAAGTTAAATTCGAATAGGCTTCTTTTACCCCCTTCCTCACGGAACATATTTACCAAAACCTAAAAAAATATCTACCGTCATCTGATTCCAATGAAGACGTTCGTTCCGTTCACTTTTTATCTTTTCCAGAAGTGAGGAATGAATATTTTGATTCTGATATTGAACGTCGCATGTCACGCATGCAAGCAGTTATTGACTTGGGTAGAATTATTCGCGAAAAAAAAACTATTGGGTTAAAGGTTTGTTCAATATATATTTAATATAAAGTGTTTTTTCTTTTTTTTTTTTTTTCAATTTAGGATGACATGTTTAATCATTTGATTTTATTGTTCTCAGACACCTTTGAAAGAACTTGTTGTGATACATTTAGATTCACAATATCTTTCGGACGTTTTGTCACTTGAAAATTATATCGTTGAAGTACGTTCTGTGCATCATTCTAAACTGCTTTGTAAATTTTGATAATTATTTAAAAATAATATTTTTTTTTATTAACTAGGAACTAAATATCAAAAATCTTCTTGTTACATCGGATGAAAGTAAATATGGCATTAAATACCGGGCAGAGGCTGATTGGAAAGTGTTAGGTCAAAAGCTTAAAAAAGACGCTGTTAAAGTAAAAAATGCTCTACCCAAATTGACTTCTGAACAAGTCAAAGATTTCGTACACAATAAAGAGATTTTGATTGATGGAATTAAAGTGGTCGAAGAAGACCTTCAAGTAGTAAGGTATTTCGAGGATACTAATAGTCATTATGAAACAAGTACCGATAAGGATGTCCTTATACTTTTGGACGTCAAAATATACGATGATTTGCAAGAGGAAGGATTGGCTCGTGAAGTTGTGAATCGTGTTCAAAGATTACGAAAAAAGGTGAACAATCTTTTACAAGTATTCTTAAATATAGTTCTGTTACTCACATTTATATTTGCATCAATTATACTATTAGGCAGGATTACAACCTACGGATCCGGTATTAGCATACTATAAATTTATCAAGGATGTCAATAATCAAATAGAAACTATTATTAAGACACAAAATGACATTATTGTCAAGATTTTAAAACGTCCACTGTTTCCAATTACGGACAAAATTGATGGAGCTGAAGTCATCATCGAGGAAGAGCAAGAGGTCATTATTATACTTTTTATAATTTACGTAAATATATTAAATATATTTTAACAGTCATCTGAATTGTATACTTCTATACTCTAGGTCAATGAATCCACGTTTTTGTTATGTTTAGTTAAAGATTGGTAAAATAAAATAAAATAAAATAAAATAGTATATTATAACTATATAATAATTATTAAATAAAAATAAAGATCAATTTGATATTTAAGAATTATT